CTCCCCGGCCGGAGGGTGCTAGGGCGCTCGGCCGAGCCGCCGGCGGCCGGGAGCGGGGAGCGAGCGAGCGGTCGGGCGGGAGGCAGGCGGCGGAGGAGGAGCGGACGCGCGGGGGCGGGGGCGCATACAAAGTGAAGCCACATTGCCAAACTTGCAGCAGCGATTGCTGCAGTTGCTGCTGCTGCGCCGGGAGCAGCCGCGCCGCGCCGGCCGGGCCGAGGGCGCCTGCAGCTCGCTTGATCTCTAGCTCGCTAGCTCTCTCGCAGCTGGAGGCGGAGGACGAGGACCCGGGGACTGAGACTTGACACTTCTGCCACTTAACGTGGGGCGCCCTCCACCCACCCAAGCCACGCGATTAAAAAAAAAAAAAAAAAAAAAAGCAGCCCAGAGCCCCCTCCTCCTCTTTCCTGCTTCTGCGAGAACTCCCTCCCTCCTCCGAGGCGCCCCTGCCCTGGAAGCCGAGCTCCGCTCGCGTTTCGCCGCCGCCGCCTCCCGCACTATTGCAATATAGGGGAAAAGCAGGTAAGGGGGTGGCCGGGACCCGGAGGGGGGGCGGGAGGGAGGGAGGGGGGGCGCCGGTCGGTGCCCGGGCTGTTTTCTTTGGCTTCCTTCCCTTGACCGTCCCAAATTGCAAGTAAACAATACGTCGCCTTAGATAATGCGTGAGTCTGAAACTAAGCGAGGCCGGCCTGCGAGCTAGCACCGAGGGCAGCCCCGGGCCGCCAGCTTTGTAGCGGTTTCCTTGCTTACAAAAGGGTTCTTCTCGGAGACCCGGCTGCTGGGGACCCTGGAGGGGGGTGGAGACATTTCCAGTTCCTAAAGGAAAGGCTGGGGCTGCTTAGATGAGAAGTAATGTGTGCGGGGGGGGGGGGGGGGGTAGTCACGCCCCCCCCCACTGTAAACACTATCTCTGAAACAGTGACCAAAAGGATCTAAGTGACCAGGATCCGGTATTGCTGGTTCTTTTTAAAGGAATTCCTCTTGGCTTATAAGTCTTTTGTTCCAATCCAGGAGAAATCCGGTGAATCACCTAATTAAAATCAAGACATGAATTAAGCATCCATTTTTTGTACTACAAATTGCCAGCGTTACGTTTGTCCCTCCCTTGGTCTCCATTAAAAACACCAGAGACGTTGTTAAAGGGGGGCAGATTTTGCCTCTAGCTGCCAGCTCTGCTTTCTATTTCACTCACTATCCCAGGACCTAAATTGCTTGGCTATGTAATTACTAGAGTATAAGCCTATTTAACTTAAAAGCTTTCTTTCTTTTTTTTTTTTCCAACTCTAAATGAAACTTGATGAGGGCCCGTCCTTAGTTATCAGGGGAGTCAGTTTCTGGTCAGTCCTCTTGATTCATCTCTTTTAGATTTAATCAGCATTAAGGTATTGCTTGTCCTTAAGAGCTTTAGCTAATGGGGTTACTGGATGCTTTTCCCAGTGTAGTGTTTCCTTTTCAAAAAAATATACATATATATATTTACCTCTCGTTAAAGATGGGGGCGGGGTGAAGCTTGGAATCTCCTCCCTCCCTCTCCCCCTCTTAAAAAGGAATTCGGAGCGATTAAAACGTGGGGGGGGGGCAGTTTAAAGACCTCAGGCAGGAAATGCAGATTCATTTGGGTTAGGGCTGAAATTGTAACAAAAAGCAATTCCTCGAGTAAATGCATCAGATAAATCAATTTACATAAAGGTATGATGCATTCGGATAAATGCAATGCTAATGGGTTTTAGAGTGGTCCTGCTTCCAAAGTCTCAGGGTTTTGTTACAGCTTAATTGGTGCTGTTCTTACCCTGGTTTATTGTGCGGTCACTGGACACACGTTCCGGGACTCTTTCGGAGGAAATGTGTTTAAAATCGGCCTATTTAAGGAACTCGAGTCCTTGTCTGGTTCTCTCTCCCTGGTTTCTTGCAGCAGTCAAGTTGGGCCGGGAACCAGGCAAAGTTAGCCCTCTGCCTTCTGAGGTATCAGCTGAGGGTCTAGAGCAGATAACTTGAGCCTGGGGGAGCCCACACTCTGGGCTTACAGAGGACAAAGACAAAACAAGCTGCTTAATTGGCAGTAAATAACTTGATCTTTTTATAGAATAAGTGACTGGAGAAACACTAGGACTTTATTGGACTCAGGATTGGAGGCAACAAATTAATCGGTTTAAGCTAAGCTTTATAAATTGATTCCTATATTAGACCCCAGTTGCTTCTCTTGTGGCATTCATTAGAGTTGGGGGGGGATGCTTAAAAGCAGTTTGGGGTGATAGCAGGACTTGTGTGTCCCTCTGTGGAGCCTCCCCGCATATTATCCCCCCCCCCTTTTGGAGGAACAAAGCTTTAGCATTTAAATTGCTGATCAAGGGCAGATTAGCGCGACCGTAGTGGAGAGTGTTTGTATAGGAAGTTAACAGGCATCCTAAAGTTCAATGATCTATTATGCTTGCCTGTGTCCTGAAAACCCAGAGAAAACACTCACTGATCTTCAAAATGAAATGAGATTTGGAACAATAATGAGAGATGGCGGTCACCACAATGGCATGTGAAAGGTGCTGTTTAAAATACGAAGAACCAGTTTCGCAACTTTACAACCCGCACCCCCCCTCCCGCCACCTTACCTCCCCTCCCACCACCTCCATCTCCATCTTCCTCTCGGCCGCTTCCTCCCTTCCCTCCCTCCCT